TAGCTTTGCATTCGTGCCAAAATAAGTAATTAAATTCAATCAAAGACATTTGTTTGCTTACTCTCATGTTCTGCCCACTTGCCGTCGCTGGGAGCCTTGTAGTGTATCCTGGTCAGAAAATCGAACTTCTCAAGTGGGACTTGCTCCGCCTTGATCCCCAACTCGTGATCCAGTTTTCTCTGCGCAGCTCTCCGAACCCCTTGCACGGCAGCTTCGAACTCTACGCCAGTTTCACCGGGAATGCCAAGTGGGTGTGAGCAGCAGGTATTTGTCCACATGTCTGGGAAAGTGATTTTCTCTGACGCGCGCTGTTGGAGTAACAATCGCTTCTGGGAATCAAAGAGGAAGACGGAGAACGCGCGGTGAAGAAGTCCGCGCTCAATGTTGGTCATTAGATGGCCTAAGCATGCCAAAAAAAAGGTTTCAAAAGAGTCAGTTCACATCGATTTTGGGTAGTACATGTACGAAAAACACATGCGAGAAAAGAGCGGAGAGCAGCCATCCAGCGGAACGGCCGGATACAGGGTTTCACACGAAAAGAATCTCATTTGGAAATACAAACATGTCTTCTTGCTGGCACTGCCAATGGGCTGGTCATTCTCATCTAGCACAATGCACACTTCATCCATGAGACGGATTTGCTCCTCATCGTACCCCTCCAGTTCGCCACCCTCACGCGCAGAGGGGCCATTCTGTCTTCGGGAAAAAGCCTGCGCAAGGCCGGGGTCGACATCCGGGAAGATAGTAGTGACATTTTCTGCAGTTATGGCCTGAGTGGCCGTCGTCGTTGTCGTGCTTGACATGACTGTATGCGGAGCGGGGTAAAAAATTCAAGCTTCTGGAAAAATTGGGGCTTGCTGGACGGTTTTTGCCCGGAGTGAATCGAAAAATTGGATCGTTAACTGAAGCATATATTGGGAATTGCCTCTGAAGGGTTTTGGAGAAGTTTATATACAGGAGCGTAGAGGTCGATTACACAAGGACTGAAACCAAGGGCAAGCTTTGGGGTAGAAGTTTGAGCAATCTTGGATTTACCGCTCAAGCCAAGTCCAAGCCCAATCACAGCACGAACGATAACTAGCACCAATTTTGTCCTCAACTTGTCCATCAGAAACATCTCTTTGAGTAACGATGGATTGACAACTTCAAGATCAGCCTTCGCAGCACCCCTCTCATCAATTGGTTTCATCTTTTGCGCTCCTGATCCTCAAGCTGCAACATGGCAACCTGGATCGCGGGTCATGTCTCGCGTGCTGTTATGCTACAAACAGGCCATTTCTGTGACTCATCAACGGCAAGAATGGCTATCGACTGGTAGTACATTGTATATTTATTGGTTTGTGATGACGGCCTTGCTATTAAGGCTCATCTATGTCTATCAGAACAAGGGCGACTAACGATCCACAAGGTGTCTCAGGGCCTTCTCTGGTGCTTGAAATTCATCAGTCCTATTAGGGATAAGGAGTCGATATAGCTCATAGAAATCATATTTCTAGAAGCTAATGCTTTGAACCTTGGTACCCTTGGAAAAAGGACTTTACCCTAATAACCTAATCGGGAAACCCCGTTTATTGGTTCATGATCGACATTCAAACTTTTAATCATTGGGTAATGGAAAGGGGTATTTCAGCGCTCCAGTGAGCAACCCTGATAGAATAGGGGTGATCGAGATTTGTTGGCCCGGTACGTATAGTCGTAATACAGGAACCACGGGCTTTTTTGTCGAAATGGTCCTCCATCTCGCTCTGGACAATAAAATAATGGTTAAAAACAGAAGCGCGCTGCATATTTCTACCAATTCTAGAAAATGCAACAGAAGCTCGCTCCTGCAGGTTGAGATATTTATGGATATAAAGCCCCTGCTTCCATATCCCAATCCGGCAATTAGACGAGCTTTCCTCTATATCCGCATAAACATTTACAGCATGCATAGAACAATCGAAGAGTCTTCGAACAATGAACCTTAAGAACTTGTTTCGGGCGGACCCAATGCTTGCGACAAAATGCGACGGGGTATGAGGAAGCCGAGCTTTTCAAGCCAGACATAGTCAACATTGCATTTCTTAATGCAATTTGGAAAAATGGAACCTGTTCTTGATGAGGTTTCCAATGTTTATTGTTATCAAGTTTGACATTTACCAGCTGGTTAAGCTCTCTCATTCATCTTTCATACCTCGATAATGGCCCAGGCATGTCATTGTAGTGCACAATGTAATGTACAGTACATACAATTGTGCGATATTCAGAGATGAACCATCGAAGGAAATTCGAAAGTTGAAAATTCCCCAGAATATGCAAAATCAGGGTCAATATGCCAGCATTCTCACGCAACTTGGGATGTTTACTCCCCTAACAGTGAGATCTTCAATGTGCATGATGTTCATGTCAGGTTCCTCTCTCTGCAACAAATCCTTACCCGCCAATTGATATAAAGGAGGCATCATTAGATGGGAATCTTATGTTCCTCATGCATGGAATCCAGAATCAAGCATTTTCGAAGACCCCAATCTGCAAATATTGTTCTTTTGGTGTTCCCCCAACGTGGTCACACACAACTTCATTACCAGGTCCGTATGTATTTTATAGACCTGCATCAATCATATGACCATATATGCAGATCCCGCCTTGTTTTGTTGGCATTAATTCTCGAAATAGGTCAAGTATCTAATAGATTCTGGTAGTCAATACCCTTGTGGAGTGCAAGGAGCAGAAGGTAGGAGCATGAAATGCTTATACATCTTTATCCACCTCATGGCTGAATCCAAGCGAAATTATCGTCCGTTGAAAAGCCCTCATCCAACGAAAATAGCAATGGCTCCATTAGATTCCTCAAAATTGGCCGTTGGTTACACAAATAGGTAAACATAAACATACCTTTTTGGACGTCCTTTGGAGATATTGGCTGGTGGCCGTAGATGTGGTCTCTTTACTGCATCCTCCGTCCCTTTGTTCAAAATTACAAACCCCCAACACCATACTTGAAAAAGCAAATATCACCAAAACGGCACAAATCGTCAATGATTAATTGGTCGTTGAGACGAATAATATTAGCCAATGGTATTGAGACTTGCTTTTTTTTTCCCTCTTAATTTTCTTCACTCTCAGCTTTTTTGGCCCCCAAGTATACAATATGCAACAACCACTACAACAATCCTCATTGTCACTATCAAATACTCTTCCGGCCTCCAACGCTCATTGCACTTTCTGAGTTTCTGAAGTTGGTTGGGGGGCCAATTGTCGGTTATGGCCGGCCGCAAAGTGGCCATCATGCTTTTAATCTGGAGTCGGCATCTGACATGATCACCGAGCAAACATGATGGATCAGGTTCGGGGAGCAAAGAGGGACACCGATCTCCCAGCCGAGAAACGATTGGCTTGCAATGCAAGTTTTTATCGAAAGGATGTTTAGACCAACGCATGAAATAGTTATATAGTTAGTTAGTTAGTAATTGTGCATATCCATCCATATCAACCAGGCTGGGCCGCCTTAGTTAGTTGACTTCGAATTTGTTTTCTCAACTCCAAAATAAAAATAAAAATGAAAAGAATAAATAAAAATAAAAATAAAAGCACTGACTGACTGGCATTTGGACCCCAAAATGATCGCCTTTTTATTCACGCAAACCAATGTTTTCAATATTCTGTTGGGAGTCTTGCTTGTTTTCACTTGTTCATGCCGAACAAGGCGTGTGCCGTACAAACACCTTTATCTTGCGGCGCCCATTGTGGTTGGCCCTCTGACATATAACACTGATGCGGATTGAGAGTAAAGGCAGCTGTGGTTGAAACTTAAGCATTGTGAATTAGAGAGAAGAAAGTGATCTGTATGAAATGGTCCAAATTTAGGGAAACTAACTACATGTTATTCTGTAGAGAGATACTGATTTCTCATGCCCAGCATGGATCTAAAAAAAAAAAAAAAAAAAAAAAAAAAAAAATCATTCGCGTAGAGACCAAAGCATATTTCAAAAGGTAATGGAGCAATGGAGCAGTTAGACAAAACTAAAAGCGTGAACAAAGGAAAAGAGAAAGTACTCAGAGCAAACAAAAAGTGACGGGGGACAAAAATGAAGAATACGAAAAGGATGAACTATCAGCGTAAATGCCTTCCAGTGCTTGTGCGACATCTAAATTTATTCGAAAAACCGATTCAAATGGGAGAGAAGGCAGCAGAAAAATACCAAAATAAAAATCAATAAAGAAACAAAATGCCACCCAAATGTAGTCTGTCTATCAAAATGTCACTCGAGAAGGGTTGTCCGTAGAAAGACAGATTTTTTGTCCAGTTCCCCTGATAAACATATGTAACGCGCGGAAAATAGGGCAAAAAATTGGTGGAAGAAATGGTACATGAAGCATAAAGTCATGTGGGAATAAGGAGAAGGCATGTGAAACAAAGAAAAGCCCAAATTATTTTTATCAAAGAGATTTGGATGCCGCGATATATATATGTTCCTCCAGTAGTCGCTGAGGAAATTTTCGAAGAGCAATGTCAAAGAATCATTGTCGAAGTATGCGTGTAGAGATATTTTTAGTAAGTCCCATGTCCCGTGAAGCCATGACCCCTTTAAATTGTATCGGGAAAACAAAAAAAAAAAAAAAAAAAAAAAAAAAAAAAAAAAAAAAAATACAAAAATACAAGCATTGGCAACAATAGTGGCTGTCCACGGTACTCATTGAGCAGTGCGAAAATCACATGAGCAAATGCGTTCTTGGTTGGATATCTGTCAAGATAAAGGTTTTCAGGGGAAAATTAGTGAATTTGATGCCCTCGTTCACAGAAGAGGACAAAAAAAAGGAGAGAGAAAGAAGAGCCGGATCAGTAGCGTGTATTTTATAGGTATTGGTGAAATGCATTAGTGGTATCATCGAGGTATGGAGAAAGAAAGGACGCATTTAGTTTTTGCGGGTCCTCAGCCTCAGTGTATGTACTCGTTTGGTCGGGATATGGGATGGATGGAGATTGATATGCCGGGGCTTGCTGGGGCATTGTTGGCACGCTTTTGGCCGTACGCTGAGCTTGACGATTCCGTCTTCTGCATCCATCTTCGCAATGCCTATATAGTTGACGTTAGTATAGTGAAAGAAGGAATTAAAATGGAGTTTTAGTAGGAGCTAACACACCTTCGCAGAGTGTCCTGTCGCGCAAACCGATGGCCACACTGATCACAACCATATTGCCGTAGTTTCTTATGTACCTGGAAACAGATGTCAATTTCGTCAATGAGACACAAGCCGGATTCGATTTAAAAACACATACACTATCTTCGTGTCTAGTAAGGTCAGTTTTTCGGCCGAACTTCTTGGTGCACCCGGGTGAAGTGCATTTAAATGGCAATTTTCGATTCGGATCATGGGTTTTCATATGTGATTTGCAATTAGAATTCCTGGTAAAACGCATCCCGCATTTCTCACACTCAAACTTCGTGTCGGTTCCACCGACTCTTCTCCTTGATTGTTTCCTAACACCGAATGGTTGACTCCTTGCTTGGTCTACTTGAGACACTGTCGCGTGTGAGCGCGACGACCGTAAAGGGACTCGAGGAGTCTTGTTATTTGTTGCGGGTCTTTGCATGTTATTATTCTCTACGCTTTGATTCTCCGCGTTATTATCCAACCCAAAAGGGTGAGCGCCGGTATTTTGTTCCAAGTCCTGAAGACCCGAGCAGTTAACCTGCCTCTGCCGCTGTTGCATTATAATTGAGTGATGTTCTTGCCTCATAGTGGGAACCGCTGGGTAGTGAAAGCCGCCATTGTATTGGGGTACATATCGTTGGAACATAGCATTACTAGCCATACCGCAGTGTGTAGGGTTAGAGTAAACCATTGGAGCATCCGAATGGTGTTGCGCAGTGTCTTGTAGCATTAAGTGACCCCCCTCAAACGAGGGTAGTCCCGACATCACCCCTATGGGGGAGAAAGCACTGTTTGGTTGGCATCCACGTTGCCATCCTTGAGAATGTTGGAGTATCGATTGCCGAGACGAGCACATCGACATTTGTGGGCTACCGAATATGCCAAGCCCAATAGCTATCGGTGAGTGTTCTGGGACGATTTCGGTTTGTTCGCAGCTTTGTGGAAGAGTAGGATATGGGGAGATATTCGCAACCATGGATTGCCCAGGAGTAGAACAAAAATGCGGGGAGAGCGTGGCATGAGACCTAGGGACAAGGTCCATAACTGAGATCAACAAACTCAATCACCACCGATGGCCTTCCTTAAGTACAATGTATATGATGTCAATTAAACGAGTATCGCAAAATAAGGAATGAATGTATTAAACATCAAGCGTGAATAACTAGGTAAGAATTGAAGAGGGGCGCTGGGATATATATTTCAGAAAAAGTTGGAGATCAACAAGCCTCATATAAAACAATGCACCTTTTGTTGGTTGACCCGAAAACCGTTCTTCTACATTCCATTAATGAATGAAAGGTCATGATGTATTGCAGGGTTCAAGACTGTCGAAAAAGTTGGCTGAAGAACGGTCGTTCCTTACGCAGCGTAACCAGAAACGTTAGAAATATCAACCACTAAATGCCCTCTAGGCAGATTTTAGGACAGGAATTAGCAAAAAGAAAACTTATGTGAGGGCAGCGAAACCCAACGCCCCGATAACCGCGGCCGTGCATCAGGGCCATGATTAGTACCAAGGCATGTGGAGTGAGGGAGGGACGCACGATCGAGGTCGGGGGATGGCGTGACGAAAATCTTGCATAGAACGAAATAAAATTGAAAAAAAAAAAAAAGAAAAGGAAAAGGAAAAGGAAACGGAAAACGAAAACAAAAAGGGAAAAAAAAAGGCCCTGCCACAGCTCCAGGAATGCGCATCAGCCAGAGAATTCGAACGGCAATGATGGATCCCAAATTGGAATAGGCGATCCCGACAGAGTGGTTGCGCATGCATCCAGTCTTACAAGTCTGAGCACTTGTAACGGTTTAGTTGGACGCAATCCTGGGCAGCACTAAGTGAATTGAACAAATAAGGGAGGTTTAAACGAACGCAACAGGCACAGTCGGTTCTTGGTTGTATCGGTTCGGGCGTCAATGAGTCCCTATAAGCCTTGCCTAGATCAAGCACGATGCCCTTCTGCTTGAGCCCCCTTTGGCCTGACGGCGAGGGTGTAAGTAGGCGAGGTATATGCGGGAGATCTACTGGGGGAGGAATGAGGCGCGAGGCGTGTACAAGCGGATCAATTCGCAAATGTGGCTATTAAAACAAGTGGATGGGATGTGCGTGGAAAATTCCGGAACCAACAGCCACAACGCAGCCTCATCCAAGTTAACAACCCAGGAACCTATTCTCCCACCTACAAAGAACATTGAAAATACATTAAATACCTGCCCTCGTTTCTGACATAGGGTCTTTTAACCAGAGCTGCACTGTGGAAATGCTGCACTTTCAATGGCCCTTGTTGGAAGAAATAGCTGCAGCTAACTGTTCGATTTGGCTGCGTAGGCCATCCATAGTTTGGACCACATCCGCCAGACGAACTGGGCCCGCGGTCGGTCCCGGATCTCCTCCACTTAGGGAATGGCTGGGAGTCGTAGGCACCCTTTCTCTCACCGGCAAAGGCGCAGGGCGAGAAAAGTCTTGAGGACGACACAGTGACACTTTGTGCGCCGTAATTCTTTTTTGACTTACCGCAAGGGAAAGAGATGACGAAGTTGCCACTGAAGGGAGGTTCTTCCGAGTGACATAGCGTCTACTACTTTCATATGCAAGAATGATGCCCACAAATGGCGAGTGAGTTACCTTCAACAGGACTATACGGACTCGGCGGATCGATTCATTTGATAAGAATAGCCGGAGAGGGCGAATGCAGAAAAGCGGTATCAGGTTCTTGCAGCAAACGATGTCAGTCTTACTGTCACACATATCGGCAGCTAATACAAGGGTATTGTCAATTTATTACTGACAAGTGGGGGCAGAAAGCAAGTTAGGCGCCGGGAGTTACCACTATCTAGTACATAAACGGACAGTCTACGCAGAGTTTAAACGCATGTTAGCAGCAGAGTTGCGTGGGGTGGAGGGGGCGGTGCGCAATTAATGAGGCAAAAGTTAAAATCATGTAGGGCAACTTACTGGAAGAGATATTCCTCTCGAGCATGGGCCATAATCTACACAGGTTAGTTAGCGGCTTCAATCCGCATGTGTCTGGCCCAAGGAAGGACTGACATACCTCTGTTAGGCTCAAGCTCATTAACCTCGTAACCGCAGATATCAAGAGAATGTTCGTCATGCAGACGAATACCAACCTAGATGCACATATTGAGTTAGAAAATCGTGCACAAACAGACACCCCGGCCCAGTCACTATCCGGTACAAGTTGGCCCGAAGAAAGCTGCAGGTGTGAGTGAGGGTAAAATAACGAATATGAATTGAAAGAATAAAGAAATCGATAGGCCAACGTAGCACCACGGAGCAAAAGCGGCCCGCCAGGGCCAATGTTGGTGCTGCCGGGGGGGAGGGAATGCGATTGTCTTGAACGTGATCCGGTGCAGATGCGTAGATGTACAGGATGGGAAGAGTAGGCTTACATAAGAGGATAGCCGAAAAGAGGCGAAATCTAAAGAAATATTAGCGTCAAAAATATCTAAACGCGATAGCCAATCGATATTTTAGAAATCCCTGCGATTTCAATTTGGGCTGCAGCAACAACCGCGGGTGCAGGGGGCTTACATCGTGGGCGATGTCCTAATATCCAATGATTTCAGCCACTTGCTATTTTGCATGCAGTAGTCGATGCTTGGCGAGGACACTGGTGCAAAAGAACAACTTACAAATCCACGTGCATCCAACCTATTCAATATCACATTTGATACGATTCCGTTAGCATTGCCGTTGCAAGCCTCACCAATTTTAGGGTAACTTTTAGCAGCCTTACCCAAAGAAGGCTTTGACTAAAATCCATGACATCTCCAGCAATGTCAATCGATCCCGTGCTAACATCGTGAAAGTGGTGAGAAAGCCTGAGTGCATGTTGGTGGAGTAGTTAGTGACCGCCTTGACTGGGATTTCCACTCAGTCCATGACGGAATAGCGGACCAGGAACGAACACCCATACCAATATACAGGATCGCGACCACAGGGAGAAACTTTAGGAGGGCCTTCGTCTAAGCCCGCTCATGGCGTTAGCATCAGAGATGACCAGGTTGAGGCGTGTGGAAAATCATGTACCATTTCCTTGAGTACGGGTATCTATGCATAATCAGTAACAGTACACATGCATCCGGTGCGTAAAATTGTGTGGCTGAGGAGTTACTACTAACCAAGCTACCAAAGTAAGAATTCAGGCTCATCAAGGAGCAGACCCTGTTATTCCAATTAGATGCAAGCAATAGTGCCGGTGCACTCAGATGAAACATTGAACTTGCCTCGGAACCAAAAATAATGCTTCTAGCGACAGGATATCGAAAGAAGTGTCCGTGACACATGCATTTCCTTGACTCAAACCGATGATACCTTCGGAAAACCCCGTTAGCAGAGAGGCCCTGGCTGTTTCTGATCAATTGGATTCATGTCAAGCAGGGCTACTGATTTTGGCATCACTATGAATACTACTACGCCGCAACGGGGTTTCAGAGGGCAAGAGTACCCAAGGCATCCCAGAAGATGCAATCCACCGGGCAAGTCAGGATTGTGCCTGGTAAACTTACGAGCAATAAGAAATGTAAACCCTGTTCCAATTATTCCTAGGTTCCATAGACTCCAGAAATTTTTTTGATAGAACATGATCCCAGTATCCGATAATCCGCCAATTTGATCATATGCAAATGCGAAAATCCAAATATACAGCAATATTTCGACGGGGCTGATTCGCAGAGGGTCCCTAGCCATCAGAACATAGTAGTACAAAGCTATAAATGACAAGAAAAACACAGCCTCGAGGGTTTTGCGATAGACTGGGACCCGTAATCGGCAATATGGATCGGTCATTCTTTCAGGTTCAAGTTGTCAGAAACGCTGGGCGTTTAGCTTGAACGGCGTTGTGTTCGAAACAGTTATCTCCATACCTTTTGTGGAACAGCTGTGCTTTTCTCTTTGAATGAACGCTCAAAGTATCCCACAATATAATTTCTCCCGTCCACATCCCATTGACTACTTTCTGGACCACTGTCTGCGATACGAACTTCTTTGCGTTTGCAATTATCGCGATTTCCAGAGCGTTAAAACCGGCAAATATGCCATATTCGTCGGATTCGAATTCAGATCCCGAAGGGTTTGCACCGGTGTTATAGCTGCTTCGCTGCGAATTCTTAACGGTCCTTGTTCCATAACCAAAAAGACGCGAAAAAGGTCTAGCGTGATATAACAGTGGTCTGCATTCATAGTCATCTTGACTTGAGTCTGCTTTTTGCGTGCTGAATGGTTCTTCAGCATAGCTTTGGATACCAACTTCAGATGTTGGCAGGGTCCATGTGTCCGGAAGTTCATCGAGCATATATTCAATGATATCCCTAGGGTTTAGGCATGTTAAAAACTGCCAGGCAACAAATTCACACGCAAATCCTCGACTTTCGTTAAGACCCCAATAACCATCTTCCTGGTTACAAAACTGCCATTTTAAAATCCTGCAATTCGTTAGGTCCATTCTTCGCAAATAGCTGCATTGTGAATGTGTACGTACATTAGAGCTTTGATAAGAGCAGGGTTATGTACTTCATCAGCCAGAGATATTGCTAGTTTCTTTAAAGGGGACCCTGCTGCTGTTCCCCGCATCTGGTCAAAACTATATGGTGTATCTGGAATCGCTTGAATGATGTACCTGGAATCATGTCAGTCTACATCTTACGGTTCAAAATTTTGGCAATTGTCACTCACTTCGAAAGCTTCCGGATCATTGACCCAATGGGCTCATCAGCAGAAATCTTGGGGATCTCAAATCCATCATTGCTCAGTTGTATAATCGACAAAACTTGAGGGCACATGATGGTTTCGGATGTCTCCAAGGTTGGTCAATCTTAACCCAAACACGGAAGGTTTTCAACACTCCGAAAGACAATATAATTACTCATTCTGACTCTAATACTTACTCTTGTTAACTGGTACGTTTACGTGTTAGCTCATTTTGCCTCTTTCAAAAATGCATTGGCAACCTTAGAATTTATGCCAACGTGTCATTACAGCTTGTCCAATATCACCAATATACACATTCCTTCAGATTTATTATCCACACTTATAAAGAGAAAACCAATAGAGGCAGAAACATCTAACGAACATATTACGATCTATACAAATGTTCACTCAGTGATGCTATTGCAAGATAGTATTTAGGCCAGTTGACAGGAGAACGCGTTGTTGAAGCATCCTAAAATAAGGTTATTCAAGCCAGTGCAAGTTCAAAAATAAATCTTATAGACATTCATCAAGCTGGGCATACTGCAATTCGCTTTTCACCTCAAACTCAAGATAGGTTATGCTATGTAATCTTATTCATGGATAGTATACTGCGTCGAAACAACTGGTTGCATTCCGTTACAAGCAATCTGGACTGTTAGGCCACTGGGGCAAAAGAGCTTGATCACGAACCAATCCAATCCCTCCGACAACAACAACATGGACAAGACAACACCTTGTTAGTGGGTACTACGGCTACCCTAACACGTGCCCCCCAATATATCGCGTTGCTCTCTCGTAGATTGGAGTTAACAATGTAACAACAACGTTATCTTATCTCAGCAAGCTCAGCCGCTTCGCAGGATAGTTAATTGCTGTTTTAACACTGATTTAATGATTAGTCACTCTTTTAAACAAGCTAATCCCAAATTGGTAATGAGCTAACCCAAATAATTCTTTGATCCCGTGATGTGCAATTATCCTGCGAAGCGTCTAGAAAAACGGTTCCAGTTTGTTAGCAACATGGGAACGATTTGCTCTTTCCTTTAGGTATGGGTGAGAATACCAAACCAACTCCATCTATTCAGCATCTCTGTACCACCTTGGGACCTAGGAAAATCAATGTTCTTGCGATGGTATCAATTTTTATTTTCATATTCCCATTTCTTAGATATGAAGTATCACCTCAAAGTCAACTCATTTTTTTTTAAACATGGGAACAATCTGCTATTTACTTGATTTCAATCAGGAAAAAAGTGACCATTTTCAACAAGATACATCTATATTAAATATTTATTTTTTTAATATAAAAATTATATATTTATATTCTTCTTCTCTTTAGCTACAAGCTAAGGTGGTTCACAAATATCAAATTATGTATGATGATTGTGTAATTGAAAGTCAAAGTTGAACAATTTGAAGAATCTATGAAAATTTCAACAATCTCCACAGAAGGATGAACCGTTTCTTCTCAGACCCTCTATCCTCCTGCACACCTAAACACCACGTGATTCCCTGCTTATATAATCACCCAACGAGACCTTCCAGAACGTCATAGGGCAAGCTCTCTTTCATCTCTCGTTCAACGTCGTCTGCTCACGCCGACGACGACATCGGTTCATCGTGACAAGTCTCTGCCGCGGTTTGGAGTTGAGGCCTTCTGTTTCAGGGTCATTCCCACATATAAGGAAACTCTTTTACCCGAGATATTCCAAGTAGAGGATAGTTGTCATGCCATCAGTTTGCGATTTACTGTCATGATAGAGTTTGATCTCTGAAAGACATTATGGGCCAGGGCTATTCCCTTACCACGCTTTCCGCTGGCTCTGCGGGCATTGACGTCCCAGAGCTCGCGGACCTCGTATACGAAAAGTCCTTGGGAACCGCCAGGTTCATGAAGAGCATTCGTGCTAGGCACAGAAATGGTCTCGTTTTCGTTAAAGTGATAATGAAACCGTATCCGAGCATGAAATTGGACCCTTATGTCAAGGCCCTTCTACGTATGTTTAAATTTCTATGATATAACTATTAGCGCAATCTAACCATATTCCAATAGATGAACGAGATATACTGGAGGATGTTCCTAATGCCCTGGGGTATCAGCGGATACTTGAGACCGGGACTGGTGGTTATCTAGTTCGTCAATATATCCACAGTTCACTATACGATCGTATGAGGTATGTTCGATCTCCGATTCTCCTGATGTATACAGCCCCTGTTTAACTCTATGAAGCACACGCCCATTCCTCGAGGATATCGAGAAGAAATGGTTAGCTTACCAACTGCTTTCCGCCCTCCGCGATTGCCATTCCCATGACGTTTACCACGGAGATATAAAAACGGAAAATTTGCTTGTGACATCCTGGAACTGGCTATACTTGTCGGATTTTTCGTCGTCATTTAAGCCGACATTCCTTCCAGAAGATAATCCGGCCGATTTTTCATTCTATTTTGATACCTCTGGCCGGCGGACATGTTACTTAGCCCCCGAAAGATTCCTCATAGCCGGTGAAGAG